ACTATCGATAAGCTTTGTTAAAAATAAACTATTCTGTCAAAAATTTTCAAGTGCAGTTGCCACATATTGTTTAGTAGTTACTAGTGCTTTCTAGTTATTTTTTTTTTTTTGTTTTTTGATATAAGAAAAATTTTTCTTTCTAATTTTAATTAATTTCACTATTGAAATTTTTTGGCTTTAATTTTTAAAATGACTGTTATTAGTACATATTTTATTTTAGTGTTTTTTTTTTGAACTTACCTAATTTAGGATATATTTTATTAAAATGTTGTAAAAATAAAATAAAATATTTCCAATTAATAGTAATTTTTAATTTTCGCACATTTGTAAAATGAAAAAACATTTTTTTATATTTTTAAACAATTCAGCACAAATGCATATATTATATTTTTTTATAAAACTTAATAGTTTAAGATATTGTTTGTTTGAAACTATTATACTAAAGACAGCCAGCCCTTAGAGCAATGCATTTTTTTTTCATCTTTAAAAAATATTTAACTGATTTCCTTTGAAAGTAATTAGATTTAATTTTTTTTTCTGTGAGTTGATTTTTTATAGTTAATAATAATTATTTCTTTTTAATAATTCTTTTTAATATAACAATAGTTATTTTTTTTTAATTAATAATAATTATTTTTTGTTTTTATAATTAATAACTATTTTTTTTTTAATTAATAACAATTATTTCTTTTTTTATATAAATTAAGTTTTACTAGTAGCAGAACGCGTTTATAAAAATGTTTTTCTTATATTTTAAAAAACGTTGTGCGACCGACCGACCGAACGACCAACGTAGTACCGAACGTCTAACTGCTAGAAAGTGTATCGCGCAATTGCGAATTCTTTTCTTAACTGCTGACCTGACTAGCGTTAAAAAAGCGCATTAAGCAACTGCCAAAAAACTATCCAAAATATTTCATATGAACCGTCCAGAGTATAAAAAAAATCACAACAACAACAACAAGAGCACAACAATGTGCTGCTGCTGCTGCTGCTGGTGTCTCCCGTCTATGTATGAGGGAGCGAATAAGCAACGTTCTAATATACACCGGCAAACAGCACAAAGGGGAGCAGCACCAACAACAACAACAACAACAACAGCGGCAGCAGTTAGAAGCTAGCTAGGCACAGTAAGTAAGCATGTAGAGGCAGGCAAGCAGGCATTCGTTTGAGGGAGTGTGCTTTCATATGTTAGTTTAACATTTTTATACTGTTAATTTCTTTTATTTGCATATATAAAAAATAAAAAAAAAAAAAATTAATAAGATACTAATAAGCTATAAGATACATGTGAAATAATAATGTGTACTGCTGCTTTTTAGTGTGTTAGAATTCTGCATTTTTATTTTATGAGAAATTAAAATTATATTTTGTATTGTATAACACACCGTGAGATACTTTGATACTGCGTTAGTTGTATTTTATTTCAAGAGTGTTTGGTTTAACATTTTTATTTTATTGTATTTTTTTTTTGTTTTTTTTTTGTTTCAGTTGATTTAGAATTTTTGGACAGCAGAGAGTATCTGAGTATCTCACAAATACCAACATAGTCCACAAAAAAGCATTTTTGCATAGAAAAACTTTATTTGCACAGGAGGGAAAAAATAAATTTTAATTTAATACATATCACAAAATGTTTTTTGTGCAACGATTTTAAACACTGACTAATACAGCAATAGAATAGATACATGTGTAGATATGTATAAATGTTTTAAGATTATTTGTATTGAAACTACTCTATGGGTATAAAACAAATTCCATTCTTACAAGTTCAAGTCCAAGTTTTGGATTTAGTTAAGTGCGCCATAGCAATCGCATACTATTTTTTTTTCATTTATTTATTTCAATATGTAAAATATTTTTTTTAATATATAAATAAAATTTCTTTTTAGTATGTATATATTAAAAAAAAATTTGTTAAATAAAAATACTCAACTTTTAAAAACAGTAAACAAAATTCGAATACATTAAAAATTTTTTTTAATAAAAAAAAATTAATATGATAAAGCATTTTGTAATATTTTTCTGTCACTATATATTATAACTAATGCTTTGTACAATTCTAAAAATTGAATGAAAATCTTGCGAATTTTAAATAATTTAAATATATACATATTTTAAATATAATTATTTAAAATTATATATATATAATACATATATAATCAAGATTGGGAGATTATATATATACATTAAGACCGAAAAGTTTTCGGAAATTCTCATTTAAAATTCGCGCGCTGTATATTTTTCGATATTTTAAGTTTATGTAGTTTGGCAGCACTGTCCTTAATTACTATGCCAAAAATGAGCGCGATCTGTCAGACAGTTCGTTTACGGCAGCTGTTGAAACCAGTTCACCTCAGTAGGGCGTTGCGAAAAAAACAATGGAAAAAAATATTGAACAAAGAGTTTGCATCAAATTTTGTGTTTCGAACGAAATTTCGTGTGCAGAATCGTTGCGAATGCTACAAAAGGCTTATGGGGAATCAGTTTTATCGAAAACTCAAGTTTATGAGTGGTACAAAGCCTTCCAGGACGGTCGTACGACCGTCGAAGACATTTCGCAACGCACTACTGAGGTGAACTGGTTTCAACAGCTGCCGTAAACGAACTGTCTGACAGATCGAGCTCATTTTTGGCATAGTAATTAAGGACAGTGCTGCCAAACTACATAAACTTAAAATATCGAAAAATATACAGCGCGCGAATTTTAAATGAGAATTTCCGAAAACTTTTCAGTCTTAATGTATAATACATATGGTAATACATATAGAATAACTAAATAAATAAATAAATAATTAAAATTTTCACCAGAACACCCTCAAGATTGCAAGATTAGGATAAAGAGCTGATTACAATGAAAGGAAAGACAGCAATTTAAAAGATGCATCAACTCAATGATACATAATAATAGCACAAAAACCGAAATCTATTATGCGATCCTTGAGATTTGTAATCCTCCCACATTTACGATGCTACTTCAATTTTTCAGTCATATATTTTCACTATCCTTAGAGCCTTATTCTTAGAGCCTTATCCTTATTCTTAGAGCGAGCATGTATGTTCATGAAAAAAAGTGTATATTATCATTGATAAACAGTCCGCTACTAAAACTTGTCCACAGTTTGTATTTCATTTATTAATATATCAGGCAGTACCTACAAGGTAACTTTAGTTTGGGTTCCCGGACATTCTTATATTGCAGAGAACGAGCGTACAGCTGCGCTAGCAAGTCTTAGTAGCAATTCTATGAAATGTTGAAAGTTCTGCTAAGACTAGCCACAGTTAAAAGTTTTTTTAAAACTATTTCTTGTGACAGACAAATAGAAATTGAGCTCATTTTTTCTCTGCAGAAAATAATGGGTGAAGAGCTATATGGTCCGTATAGTTTAAATCTAGAACATTCTTGGACTTGGTAAATACAAGTAAATCGAAAGTATCTAGGTTGCTGTTCAATTGGGCCATCTTATTAATAGCAAATACATGAATTTTAACAAAAGTATCCGTATGAACTATATTAAGACTTTCATCAAGCCTTTTTTTTGTAGCTTTCTTTAAAATTTATTTTTTACTTTATATACATACATTATATAACATAAAACTTTATAGCAATAACGTATTTGAGGTAAATAAATATGCAACACTTTAAATATATATATAAATATTTAAAAAACAAAAGCTGTTTAAATATTTTAGAAATATAGTTTGCATAAATATATAACTTAATTAAATAATATTTAGAATATAATTATATTAATAGATGAAACAGTTAGAGTTAGAAATATAAAGAACAAATTGTATATAAACTTATTTGTTTTCTGATTTTCAGCTTTATTGGCTCTTCTTGTGAGATATATGTAGTTCACTAAGTTCTGTGTGATGCTTTCATTCACACTTTAATTTACTAATGTATATTATTTTTTTTGACGACTTGCTCGGGTCCAACCATTATCTCTCGATTTTGCAGCATTGCATGGTTATATGTATTCTTTACTGCATAGATAACATGTTTTCGTTGTAGTATTAATCTCGTTTTT